ATCTGGGTTTGAGTACTAGATTAGCTACTTACTAGCTTTGTGATCTTGGGGGAAAGTACTTACCCTCTCTGAACTTCCATTTCCTGCCCATTGTTTGGGACTATCCATTGGGCTGTCTCTTCTTATTTTGTATTTTAAAGAATGTAATTTTTTAAAAGCAAATCAGATCATTTTTAAAAGAAATAATATACAGACATAAAGTAAGATCAAGTAGAGATTGTAATAAATGCAAATAAATCCCTAAGGGCTGAGCAGCCTTCTTTTCCAAGGTAGAAAAGGCAAAATAGAACCTTGGCATCAAAGGTAATAGTATAGGCTTGAGACCAGAGGCCCATGCATCATTACATTATACACCGGAAAGGAGAGAGAATCTGAAATTGGACACCTGCACACTGAAACAGCTATCTAGCTCCTCTCCCTATTTCTAACTTGACAGGGTATTAATTTAGCTTATTTTTAATTTTTAAAGTTTAATAATTATATTGATAACATTAAGAGTTATCCAGTAGCTTAATTTTTTTTATTGTACTTTAGATGAAGGTTTACAGAACAAATAGTTTCTCATTAAACAGTTAGCACACATATTGTTTTATGACATTGGTTAACAACCCCACAACATGTCAACACTCTCCCTTCTTGACCTTGCGTTCCCTAATACCAGCTTTCCTGTCCCCTCCTGCCTTCTAGTCCTTGCCCCTGGACTGTTGTGCCCATTAGTCTCATTTTGTTTTATGAGCCTGTCTAATCTTTGGCTGAATGGTGAACCTCTGGAGTGACTTCATTACTGAGCTAAAAGGGTGTCGGGGGACCATACTCTCAGGGTTTCTCTGTTTCTGTCAGGGCAGTAAGTCTGGTCTTTTCTTGTGAGTTAGAATTTTGTTCTACATTTCTCTCCAGCTCTGTCTGGGACCGTCTGTTGTGATCCCTGTCAGAGCAGTCAGTGGCAGTAGCCGGGCACCATCTAGTTGTACTGGACTCTGTCTAGTGGAGGCTGTGGTAGTTGTGGTCCATTAGTCCTTTGGACTAATCTTTCCCTTGCATCTTGTTCATTCTCCCTTGCTCCCAAAGGGGTGAGACCACTGGAGTGTCTTAGATGGCGGCTCACAGGCATTTAGGACCCCAGACGCTACTCGCCAAGGTAGAATGTAGAACATTTTCTTTATAAACTGTGTTATGCCAATTGAGCTAGATGTTCCCCAAGACCTGTAGCTTAATTTTAATTGCTTTTTCTTGCTTCTCAATAAAGCATTTCAGTAGTTGCTAACAAGACTAGTTTTTGCTAGAAGCAAAAAAAGATCACATTAAATTTGGGCCTTTGGGTCCTTTCCCTGTTCTCCCTTTGATGTGGCTATGATCAGGAGCCCTGTTTGATGTTTGAGCGATCTGTCCCAGGTCTAGAGTCCAACGCATCCTTCCCATGAAAACCTAAAGAGGTTTTAATTCTTTGTCTCGTATCTAGCTTCAGAGTTTTTCCCAACAGGATTTTCCAAACTGATGATCAGTGAGGATCATCCAAAACAACTAGAAGAAAATGTTAAAGAGCATAAAAAAAAAAAAGAAAAAATTTAAAGCAATTGCAATAATCTGTATGGGAATATTCTGACTTGTTGTTAGTTGCTGTCAAGTCAGCTAGACTCATGGTGACCGCAGGTACAACAGAATGAGACATTGCCTGTCCTGTGCCATGCTCACAATTGTTGGTATGCTCAAGTCCATTGATGCGGCCACTGTGTATTCTGAGTGCCTTCTACCTAGGGGCCTCATCTTCTACCACCATATCAGACAATATTCTGTTGTCATCCATAGAATTTTCATTGGCTCATTTTCAGAAGTAGATTGCCATGCCTTTCTTCCTAGTGTATCTTAGTCTGGAAGCTCCGGTGAAAGCTGTCTACCATGGGTGACCCTGTTGATGTTTGAAGTATTGGTGGCATAACTTCCAGCATCATAGCAACACCCAAGCCACCAGTATGACAAATGATGAATGAGTGGTGGTCTGACTTCTTAAAACCCCCTTTTTTTATTAAAAGGTAAATCTTAAAATGAGGAACGGGCAAGTAAGGAAAATGAGGAGTTTCTGCTTGAAAAAAAAACTTTGCCTAGAAAAAAAAATTAATTATGGATCCTCCTGGTCAATGTAACTACCTGGGCAAAATTCCTTACTTTGACTAGGGTAACTGAGATTGATGCCTAGGGCTGCTTCTGAGACCCAGAGGATCAACATACTCACCGCAGCTTCCCACATGAGAATTGGATTAAATATTTAGAAGCTAAAGAGAGAAGCCACAAAATAGAGACCAAAAAGTTTCCCCTGATGTTTAACACAAGGAGCCCTGGTGGCGCAATGGTTAAACACTCGGCTGCTAACTGAAAGGTCTGCAGTTCGAACCCGCCAGCTGGCGATCTGCTCCTGTAAAGATCACAGCCCAGGAAACCCTATGGGGCAGTTCTATAATGTCATATAAGTCCTATAATGTCATATAAGAGTTGGAATCGACTCCACAGCACACAACAACGTTTAATACCCTGATTCCTTATCAAGTTTAAATATATAGGAATTCATTAGGATGAAGAAATGGCATTCTAACTAGCTGATAACTAGCTGTCTAACAAGATTATTTTAGGGAACACATTTTGTTTCCTCACCCTATTCTGCTCCCACTTGCATTTTTGCTGTTTAGGGGCCCAGTGGCTAGGCTTGCTTTCCACATCTAGATGATGTGGTTTCCCTCTATATAGCCTCGGGTGTGGAACTTCTTTTCATAACCTTCCCCTAGGGCTGGCTGGCAGTCTCCTTGTCTTATCAGTGGGGTGTGCTGTTTGTTAAGAGCCCGGGGTTTTTCTGAATGAGCTAATGTTAAATCAAACCTCAAAGCAAGTCTCAGGGACAAGGGAAGTCAGGAAACAAGATTTCAAAAGCTGCCTGGTAAGATAAAGAGCGAGATTTTAAAATCCTGTTTTGTATTTTGTTTTCAAGTAGAGGGCCCTCTCCCAAGCCACTCTCAATTTAGTTCAGCAAATTTTATTCAACCAGCATTTTCTGGAGAGTCAAGGAATCAGTAGAGAAAGGTTACTGCTCCAAAGAGGAATTAGTGTTCACAGCACGGCAAGATCTTACTGTCCCCTGGCAGTATGCCATTGCCCGCCCTGTCAATCACAGACTCGTTTCTAGTGTGCTGCAAAAATTTCACAGAACTTTAGGACATGAACAATTTAAGTAAACAGGTTTCCTCATGTTACTCATGTTACTCACTTAAGTATCAGTGAGCCAAATAGATCTGGATTTTAACTGTGGCTTTTCCACTTTGTTGTTGTGTGACCTTGGAGAATTTACTTAACCTCTCTGAACCTCACTTCTTCATATATAAAATGGAAACCCTCTCCTAGCATCCACCAGCCTCATCAGCTTGGTTGGTATTCCAGGCACTGCCCAATGGACAGTCTTCTCAGCCCCAAGGCTGCGTACCTATCTTTGCCTGAACATTCTAGAGTGGATTCCCCTGGGTCTTCCCTTCCTATTTTCCATCTGTCATCTATTTTAGCTCTTAAGGCCTGTCCCCGATACTGCCTCTCTGGGTCATTTCATCTTGAGTTCTTTTTCCTTCCCTCTTTTGGATACAACCATTATTATTATTAAAAAGGCTTCTAGAAGCTCTTCGTTTTTGGGAACCAGGATGACATAAACCACTGCCCCCCACATCTAGAATTCTCATAGCCCTTTTCAGGGAATCACAGGTTAAGAACAGTTTGGCAAGTTAAAGACAGCCACTGCCTTTCTTCTGTGGTCTCAGTACCGGCCTCCTTAGATTTTAATATACTGAAGATCCGGAAGGGTTTCTTTCTAAAAGTGAATTTGCCTGCTTCCTTTGTCAGCTAATGAAAACAATGTAACTCGTTTCCCTTCTGACCTACTCAGTAGCTACTTGTAACTGATTCATATCAGATTCATAGTATCAATTTTGTTCTTTTTTCATTTAAGTAGTCTTGTACCATTTTTTGGAGCCCTGGTGGCGCAGTGGCTACTAGCCAAAAGGTCGGTGTTTGAGTCTGCCAGCTGCTCTTTGGAAACCCCACAGGGCAGTTCTACTCTGTCCTATAAGGTTGCTATGAGTTGGAATAGACTTGACGGCATAGGTTTTTGGCGTTTGATACCGTTCTTATCCCTGAATTTCTTATACTGAACTACATTTTTTTGTGTCTACAGTTTTTGCGATTGTTAGTTGTGATTGTTGTGAGTTGGCACCCAACTCACAGTGACCCCATGCACAATAGGATCACACTGTTGTGATCCATAGGGTTTTCATAGACTGATTTTTAGAGGTAGATTGCCAGGCCTTTCTTCCTAGTCTGTCTTAGTCTGGAAGCACCTCTGAAACCTGTTCAGCATCATAGCAACAAGCAAGCCTCCACTGACAGACCAGGTGGTGGCTGTGCTTGGGGCGCATTGGCCGGGAACCGAACCAGTTCTCCCTCATGGAAGGTGAAAATTCTACCACTGAACCACCAGTGCCCCCTCAAAAGTCCAGTCGAGTTGCCATCAAGTCAACTCTGACTCGTGATGACACCAAATGTGTCAGAGTAGAACTGTACTCCATAGAGTTTTCATTGGCTAATTTTTGGGAAGTAGATCACCAGGCCTTTCTTCCAAGGCACCTCTAGGTGGACTCAAACCTTGAACCTTTCACTTAGCAGCCATGTGCATTAACCATTTGCACCACCCTTTTGGTGTGTAAATCCTGAATAAGTAAAGTGCTTACAACCACCCACATTTAGTATTTCATCATCTACCTTTAACATATTACTGAGTATGTATTCCCATATTTCAAACATGAATCTCTTTAGCTATTAAAAAAAAAAACACAGCATAACTTTGTGACTCTAAAACTTGTAATTCTGAAGAAAAATGTTAATTGCTGTTGCTGCTTTTCTTCTAAGAATAAATTCAGGGCTTTTTTCTGCCTCTGTTTATAAATCAGTCCTCTTTTTCTCCTTAACTGTAGTGTGAAATGGCTACCAGCTGTGACAGACAAAGAGCCCCAGAAGTTAATTTCAAAGAATTGAGAGCAACAAATATGAAGCCTGAACTACTGAGTGGCCACATCCCCTCAGGCCACATCCCGAAGCCCATTGTGATGCCTGACTATGTGGCGTAAGTACATAGTTCTTCAGGGTGTAGAGGTTGGGAACTTCCGATTTGAGGCCTTTCCTTTTCCTTTTTGTCTTCGAGTTAGCTCTCTCTGCTTAAAATAATTCATATCCGAGCTGTTGTTTGCGATCTGAGAGAAAGTATATTGAATTTAAGGTAAACATGGTCAGTGAGAATCAGCTAAGCTGTTTTTCTTTTCTCCTTTTTTATTTTTTTGCTAAAGTGTTTTTCCATTCAGCTTGTTTTAGTGAAAAAATTGTGGTAACTTTTCACTGAAAAAAATTTTTTTCCTCAGAAAATACCCTGTGATTCAGACGGATGATGAACGAGAACGCTATAAAGCTGTGTTCCAAGACCAGTTTTCAGAGTACAAAGAGCTCTCTGCAGAAGTCCAGGCCGTCCTGAGGAAGCTCGATGAGCTGGATGCAGTGATGAGCAGGTTGCCACATCGTTCAGAAAATCGACAGGTCAGTGCCTGCAGCTGGCTGGAGGAGCACATGGGCCTAGAAGAAGGCCCAAACCTGGCTTTATTTTTTAAATATAGAGAATCCGCAACCCTCTCCATCTGCTGTCTGTCTAGGAAGGTCACTTGACATCTTCAAGTTAACTAGTCAAGATTACAAGTTAAAGTATATAATGTCTTTTGCTTGCAATTATTAAGCAATATTTTATTTTCTTATTTAAATAAACATAAATTTGCCAGAGATATGTACTGAGTCAGTCAGAGTCCCAGCAGGAGACAAGTGGCACAGTGAAGCTAGATAATTAGAGGAGGTGTCTCACCAAAGGGTATGTGGGTATAGGGGAGCCACTAGGGGGCAGTGCCGTCTCTGGGGGTAAGTAACAACCAAGCAGTTACTACCCTGGGCCAACAGGCAGAGAGCAGGGAGGGTAAGGGTGGAAAGTGGATATGAAGCTACAAACAGGAACCACTAGGCATGCACATTAGACCTGTGATGACGAATATGGCAGAGAGGGAAGCTAGAGTAGAGATGTCAGCATGGGAGACTTAAGCTTTTTCTGTAACGTTTTTTTAAAAGAGGATGTGTTGATCTAATCTATTACTTGCATAGTTAAATTTTTAAAACCCATGAAGCATTTTTTATAAATGTCAAATGAATTTATATGTGTGTGTGTATGTATATATGTATCCATGTATATATATATACAGACACACACGTATACATATATATGTTGTTGTCAGGTGCCATCGAATCAGTTCCGACTCATAGCGACCCCATGAGTAACAGAATAAAACACTTCCTGGTCCTGCACCATCCTCAGAATTGTTGCTGTGTTGAGTCCATTGTTGCAGCCACTGTGTTAATCCATCCCCTTGAAGGTCTTCCTCTTTTTTGATGACCCTCTACTTTACCAAGTATGATATCCTTCTCCAAGGACTGGTCCCTTCTCATAACGTGTCCAAAGTACATGAGACAAAGTCTCGCCATCCTTGCTTCTAAGTAGCATTCTGGCTGTAATTCTTCCAAGACAGATTTGTTCATTCTTCTAGCAGTCCATGGTATATTGAATATTCCTCACTAACACCATAATTCAAAGGCATCAATTCTCCGTTCTTCCTTATTCATTGTCCAGCTTTCACACGCATATGAGGCTATTGGAAAATACCATGGTTTGGGTCAGGTGCACCTTAGTCCTCAGAGTGACATCTTTGCTTCTTAACACTTTAAAGAGGTCTTTTGCAGCAGATTTGCCCAGTGCAATGCCTCTTTTGATTTCTTGACTGCTACTTCCATGGGCGGTGAGTGTGGATCCAAGTAAAATGAAATCCTTGACAACTTTAATCTTTTCTCCATTTATTGTGATGTTGCTTGTTGGTCCAGTTGTGAGGACTTTTGTTTTCTTTATGTCTCACTGGTGAAACCCAGGTGAAATTGTACACTACAGATTAGTAAGTAAACACAGTGAAGTCTGTGTGTACCTTGCTTATTGAGTAGTCCATCCCTAGTTATTGTTTTCATTTTGCTAATGTGGAAACTGAGGCTTAGGGAAGATAAATAGCTTGTCCAGGTTCCCACACATGGCAAGCGATCATGCTGGGACTTGGGTGTGCTTTCATGCCAGCAGGGACCATTTTCTCTTATTCACTCCTGGGTCCCAGTGTCTTGCAGATAGTAAGCCCTCAAATATTTGTCCACTGAATTGAAGTTTTGTGTGTGAATATTTACATTATGGTGCTGTGTAAAAATTATTTAATAAATTATTTTCTAATCCCAGTGTGCTTTGACACATTCTTGGGACGTGATTTGAGTAAATGTAAGTGTTTTAATTCAATTATACAATGTATTATTTTTAGGAACATGAGAGAATTTCAAGAGTCCATGAAGAGTTTAAGAAAAAAAAGAATGTGAGTAAAACAATTGTCTTCTTCAATGTGTATTCTGATCCAGGTGCACTGGTGATGAGTGGTAGAATCTTCTATCTATAGTAGTATTTCTTTTCTTTTTTCTCTGTATTTGTTAAGATGCTGCTTAAACTTCTTATCTCTGTCTTGATCACTTTCTAATATGTCCTGATTTAGCAACCTGGGGAAATGAGCGCTGATATATAACTCCTCAGCCACATTTCCTTCAAAAACATTGTTATTCTTCGTCTTTCTAACTCCATCCTTAACTTGATCTCACAAATCTGAATAGGCTGGAGAGAGCTCTTATTAATCTTTTCTATACTTATTATTTACTTTTTGATGTGTTTCAAACTATTAAAGTTAAAAGTGCCTCAACAATGCAGAGAGTTTAGCTGTTATTCTTATTAGGCAGATTTTTAAATCTGCTGCAAATAAATCTGCTAGGAAGGGTCATTTTCTGGGTGATAATGTATGTTTCTGTGTTCTTCCCTGAGGAAGTCAGCGGCTGAAATAATGGCTTGTTTCTTTTACAGGATCCTACATTTCTGGAAAAAAAAGAACGCTGTGATTACCTAAAGAATAAACTTTCTCACATAAAGCAAAGAATTCAAGAATATGATAAAGTAATGAATTGGGATGTACAAGGCTATTCTTAAACCTCATTTGAGACCACCTTTTTTATGGTAAATTTAATATTTATTTACTGCCTTTTTTATGCTAGTCTCTGAGATACAGAAGCAATTACTTCCTGAGTAGGCTTCCAGTTGGTTTAAGGTGCATGCAATGTTAAACAGTATGGTTTCACTCAGACATTTTGAAAGAAATTCAAATTTACTGAAGCCTTTACTAACAATAGGAAAATTCCTATATTCATTTCTATATAATTTCATATTTATCTATCTCGTTGAATGTGTTGTCATTTATAATGATTTAGAGATCATATCCTTATGATGTGATGAGCAAATGTACTGTCAGTTCTGGTGCTGCTTTTTGCTTCTTATCTCAGGCAGGTTCCTAGGATTTTTCTAGGACAGATTTCTCTTCCTAGCCAAAGGTGTCATTTTTTTTCCCTTGAAAGGCGATTGAATCCAAGATCACTATTTACAAACTTTGTGATGTTGAATAAATTGCTCAATCTCTCTGTGCCTGTTTCCTCATCTCTAAAATGGGGCTGATAATAGTGCCTACCTCGTAGGGTTGTTAGGAGGGTGAAATGAGTTCATATTTGCAAAGCGCTTAGAACAGAGCCTGGCACATTCTAAGCATTTTATTGTTGTTGTGTGCCAACGAGTTGATTCCCACTCATAGCAACCCTATAGAACAGAGCAGAACTGCCTCATAGGGTTTCCTAGGCTGTAGTCTTCACAGGAGCAGATTGCCAGGTCTTTGTCTTCCCACAGAGCCGCTGGTGGGTTCAAACTGTTGATCTTTTGGTTAGCAACCGAGCTGGTGCTTAGCCATCATGCCTCTAGGTCTCCTTGGTGTTTGTGAAATCTGTAGAAATGTTCCTGAGATGAATCAACTACATAGAATGAGTCTCAAGAAAAGGTCCTTAATGAGCAAACTCAGCCAGCTGACCGCAAAAGGCCCCTATGTCTCCTGACTTCCTTTTCTGTGCTGTTAACTCTTACCACATGTAGCCTTAGGCAGATGCTTCCCTGTGGTTCTGTGCCTTTGGGGCTCAGTACAGCCTCCCTATCTTTAATCAGTAGCACGTAGCCCCACAGCCCAGCCTAACCTACACACATCTATAGAAGGATGTGTGAATACTGTTGTCCTTTTCTATCTCTTTTGGACATCTGCCCTAAAGCCCCTGATGTTACATTGACATGAGATCTCACTTTGATTAATTGGAATGCATCATCTTCCCAAGAATTATCTTGGTTTTGGGGCTTTCTTCATGAGAAACTTCTTACTTTTATTAGTATGAACAACAGATTGCCTAACATAATGTTAAGAATCATTATTGGATCCTATTCAGTAGCATAGGAGCCCTGGTGGTGCAGTGGTTAAGAGCTCGGCTGCTAACTGATAAAAAGTCGGCAGTTCAAATCCACAAGCCACTCCCTGGAGGCCTGATGGGGCAATCTACTCTGTCCTGTAGGGTCACTGTGAGTCGGAATCGACTCGACAGCATCGGGTTTGGGTTTGGTTTTTATTCAGTAGCATGTATTTGTAGGTAATTTCCTAAGTATAGAATTTCAGTTTCTGCGTAATATAGCTGCCATTCAAACAGTGGAGCACTTTGAGAACTAAGATGTGCCTGGCCCAAGCCGTGGTATTTTCAGTCACCTCATATACATGTGAAAGCTGGTCAGTGAATAAGGAAGACCAAAGAAGAATTGATGCATTTGAATTATGTTGTTGGCAAAGAATACTGAGTATACTGTGGACTGCCAGAAGAACAAACAAATCTGTCTTGGAAGAAGTATGGCCAGAATACTCCTTAGAAGTGAGGATGGTGAGACTTCGTCTCAGGTACTTTGGATGTGTTATCAGGAGGGACCAGCCCCTGGAGAAGGACATCATGCTTGGTAAAGTAGAGGGTCAGTGAAAAAGAGGAAGACCTCAACAAGACAGATTGACATAGTGGCTGCAATGATGAGCTTAAGCATGACGATTGTAAGAATGGCACAGGACCGGGCAGTGTTTCGTTCTGTTGTACACAGGGTTGTTTTGAGTCGGAACCGACTCAGTGGCACCTAACAACAACAATGTTCAAAGAGTTTTCTAAAGTGATGAAACCTAAGACAACACAGCATGTGGAAAAGCAGAGGCTTGGAAAGTGTTGGTTACTGAGTGAACTTCCCAGTTTTTCTTTGTCAGTGAAATCTTATGTAGTGTTTATTATTAATATTTTAGTTCGCTCGTTCTCAGACTGTGCTTAGGGCCGTAAGGGTTTCAGTAAGAGGGAATACCTACAAAAGCTTCACTTTCTGTTTTATATATTGGGGGCCCCGTGTTAACATTTCACTTAGGAAAAGTGCCACTACTTTAAAAAAAAAAAAAGTTGAAATACTACTTGTAGATTTTAGAGAGTTAGATTAATAGTGAAATGAAGTGTTAAGGAATTTTAACTTTGCAAAACTTTATTTTACAATAATTGTAAATATTAATCTAAAAGCCAGTGTTTAATGCTGATTTTTTACATTTTATTTTTATGTCAATACCTAAGTGTATTAAAATTTCAATTCCCTGTTTTTTTGTGTATGCCCTTCATTGTTTTTCTAGCATTCCTGTGTTCACTGGGCATGCTGCTTCTTGAAAATATTTGCTTATCAGAAAATAAACTGGAAAGTCATTGAAAGCTTGTAGGTCACAATGTTCAGATGACTCACTGTTTCCCCCTCCCGTTATTTGCAAGAATTCAAAGTCATGGCCACCTTTGGCACGTTGTGAGATTACCTGTACATGATCTTTCTACTACCTGACTTTAACATGTGTTCTGTCTTGAAATGTAATTAATATGAAGATATGTCAGTATATCTAACACTTAAAAAGATGAAAATGTATATTCTTTACTCATTCATTTGCCAACCGTGTGTCAAATGCTTTTGTTGTGCTAGACATTCTAACACTGAAGATACAGTAGTCAGTGAAACAGGTATAGACCCTGGGGTTATTGTCTAACGGGAGATATGGATGTACACGTCCTTGTTATGTGCATTCTAGAAATGGTTTGTATAATGAACCTGACATTGAGATACACCAAAATTCAAAAGAACACAACATAGGAAAAAAATCTATGTATACTTTTTTCTAACTCACATATAATCTTTTTAATTTTTTTACTATTGTAAAAGTAATACCTGCTGACTTAATTTAAAAAAAAAAAATAAGTAGTAGAAAAGCTTAGAACATAGAAAATGAAAGTTTCACCATTATCAGTTCCATTCCCCAGCATATGTACCATGTTTGGAGCATAACCCTTCAGACTTTTATATGATACATAGAATCATCTTTAAATTGTCTACTTTAATGGTTTAAACCAGTTTTTAAAGAAAAATATCAAAAAGGCTGCACCAGCGTGTGATTGTGCAAGTACCTTGTAATAGAGTGGCTTCCTGGGGACAGTCAGGGAGTTAGAGCAACAGAAGAAGATAGCTGTATTGAGATATAATTCATATACAACTCACTCATTTGAAGCATACAATTCCAGGTTTATAGTATATTCACAGATATGTGCAACCATCACCAATTTTAGAACATTTTTATCACCTCAAAAAGAAACCTTATACCCCTTTAGTTATCATCCTCCTATTCCCTCATCTATACCCCTAGTCCTAAGCAACCAGTAATCTACTTTGTGTTTCTATAAATTGTCCTATTCTGGACTTTCATAGTAATTGAATCACATAATATGTGAACTTTTCTGCCTGGTTTCTTTCACTTAGCATGATGTTTTCAAGCTTCATCCAAGCTGTAGCATGTGTCAGTACTTCATCCATTTTATGGACAAATAATATTCTGTTGTATGTATGCATCACATTTTGTTTAGCCATTCATCAGTTGATGGACATTTGGGTTGTTTCTGTCTTTTGGCTAGTATGAATAATGCTGCTATGAACATACGTGTGTAAGTTTTTGTGTAGACATATGTTTTCATTTCTCTTGGTATATACCTAGGAGTAGAATCACTGGGTCATAAGGTAACTCTATGTTTATCCCTTGAGGAGCTACCAGACTGTTTTCCAAAGCAGCTGCACCATTTTACATATCCACCAGCAGTGTATGAGGGTTCCAATTTCTCCACATCCTCACCAATACTTGTTATTATCTGATTTTTTGATTCTAGCCATCCTAGTGGGTGTGTAGTGGTATCCACTGTGGGTTTTGATTTGCATGTCCCTGATTACTAATAATATTGAGCATTTTTTCACATACTTCCTGGCCATCTGTATAACTTCCTTGGAAATGTCTATTCAGATCCTTTGCCCATTTTTTAATTGTACTATTTGTCTTTTTATTATTGAGTTGAAGAATTCTTTATATATTCTGCATGTAAGTCTCTTATCTGATACATGATTTGCAAATATTTTCTCCCATTCTTTGGGTTCTCTCTTCATTTTCTTGATTGGATCTTTTGAAGTACCAAAAAACCAAACCAAACCTGTTACCATCGAATTGATTCTGACTCATAGTGAATAGAACTGCCCCCAAAGGGTTTCCAGGGAGCTGCTGGTGGATTCAAATTGCCAACCTTTTGGTTAGCAGCCAAGCTCTTAACCACTACGCCACCAGGGCTCCTTTTGAAGTACAGAGGTTTTTAGTTTTGAAGAAGTCTAATTTATCTATTTTTGCTTTTGGTATCATATTTATGCTTTTGGTATCATATCTAAAAAGTAGTTGTCTAATTCAAGGTCATGAAGATTTACCCGTATGTTTTCTTCTACATACAGTTTTAGCTCTTACATTTTAAGTCTTTGATCCATTTGAAATGGTAGATTTTGAGCTCACAACCAAGACTGCATTACTTACTGTATGACCTTGAAAAATTACCGTCTCTAAGCGTCAGCCTCCTTACCTGTGAAATGGAGATAACAATACCTACCTGATGAAATTGTTACGAAAATCAAATGAATGAATGCACATAAAACACCAGGAAGGTACTTGCTCAATAAGTGGTGGCTAGATATACAAAACATTCTTTTCATTGTGTTAGACAATGAGTTGGTTATTCTAAAGGTAAAATATCCAAATGACTTTTCTTTTTA